AGTCTCTGAGTCTCTGAGTCACTGAGTCTCTGAGTCACTGAGTCTCTGAGTCACTGAGTCTCTGAGTCTCTGAGTCACTGAGTCATTGAGTTTCTGAGTCACTGAATCACTGAGTCTCTGAATCACTGAGTCACTGAGTCTCTGAGTCACTGAATCACTGAGTCTCTGAGTCACTGAATCTCTGAATCTCTGAGTCTCTGAGTCACTGAGTCTCTGAGTCACTGAGTCTCTGAGTCTCTAGTCACTGAGTCTCTGAGTCTCTGAGTCACTGAGTCTCTGAGTCACTGAGTCACTGAATCACTGAGTCTCTAGTCACTGAGTCTCTGAGTCACTGAGTCACTGAGTCTCTGATTCACTGAGTCACTGAGAACTCACCAGCGCAGCAGTGCTGGGACTGAAACATCCCTCTATCCATCATCCCTCCATCCATCCCTCCCTCTATCTCTCCATCCATCACTCCCTCCATCTCTCCCTCCATCCATCTATCATCTCTCCCTCCATCATCCATCCCTCCCTCTATCCCTCCATCCATCTCTCCCTCCATCCCTCCCTCTATCTCTCCATCCATCCATCACTCCCTCCATCTCTCCCTCCATCCATCTATCAGCTCTCCCTCCATCCATCCCTCCATCCCTCCCTCTCTCTCTCCATCCATCTATCATCTCTCCCTCCATCCCTCCCTCTATCTCTCCATCCATCTATCATCTCTCCCTCCATCCCTCCCTCTATCTCTCCCTCCATCCATCCCTCCATCTCTCCCTCCATCTATCATCTCTCCCTCCATCCCTCCCTCCATCTCTCCCTCCATCCATCTATCATCCCTCCATCCATCTATCATCCCTCCCTCCATCTCTCCCTCCATCTATCATCTCTCCCTCCATCCATCCCTCCCTCCATCTCTCCCTCCATCCATCTATCATCCCTCCCTCCATCTCTCCCTCCATCTATCATCTCTCCCTCCATCCATCCCTCCCTCCATCTCTCCCTCCATCCATCTATCATCTCTCCCTCCATCCATCACTCCCTCCATCTCTCCCTCCATCCATCACTCCCTCCATCTCTCCCTCCATCCATCTATCATCTCTCCATCCATCCATCCATCCCTCCATCCCTCCCTCTATCTCTCCATCCATCCATCACTCCCTCCATCTCTCCCTCCATCCATCTATCATCTCTCCCTCCATCCATCCATCCCTCCATCCCTCCCTCTATCCCTCCATCCATCCATCCATCCATCTCTCCATCCATCCCTCCATCCATCTATCATCCATCCCTCCATCTCTCCCTCTATCCCTCCATCCATCCATCCATCCATCCATCTCTCCATCCATCCCTCCATCCATCTATCATCCATCCCTCCATCTCTCCCTCTATCCCTCCATCTCTCCCTTCATCATCTCCATAATCCATCTCTCCCTCATCCCTCTATCCCTCCCTTCATCCATCTATCATCATCTCCATCATTCATCCCTCTATCCCTCCATCCATCCATTAATTCTCACTGTGGGTAAACCTCATGAAAAAGTCTCCAGCAAATATTTCACTCCAAAATCGAAAGAAAAAAGTAAATTTTTATATGCACAAATTAATACTATTAGTGCTTATTAGTCAAATTAAGCATATTTTTAAGACAAAATCAACTCCCACTATTGATTCCAATAGAGCCACGATTCTTTAATAACCATAATTGTATTTACCTTTTTATTTATTTATTTGTATCATTTAATAATTTGTTATAAAATAATTCTGTTTTTAAATCTTATCTCTTATTAGTTATTTATTTTTACACCCCAGCGTCATTATTTCACATTAACATATATTAGTGTGTGTGTGTGTGTGTGTGATATATATGAGCTGGACATGTGCTTGAGTTCAGATGCAGATCTCTCGCTTTCTCTCTTTATATTGCTCTTATCTCCAGTCTGGCTTGATCTGATGTCGAGTGTGTTCTCCTAACGCTTTATGAGCTCATGAACTCTTCCGCGTGTTTGTGACCGCAGAGATCCACTCGCTGAGAAACCGCAGTCGATTGATGTGTCCGTCTGATCACACGTGTGTTTTAAAGCGAGGGATCCGTGTTACTTCATAATGAACCCTGAGTCGAGGCTCTTTATGGAGAGCGCAGCCGCGAGTGGCTTTTAAAGCCGGAGTTTATTGTCCTTCTCAGCGTGCAGGTCCCATAACTTTCTAGTTAGCCACTACTGGTTTCATGTTTACAGACGGAGCTGAGGAGAAAATTCACACATCCCTCTCCGCGGCACACACACACACACACACACACACACACAGCGAAGGGAGACCACAGGCGCCAGTCCACCCCTGCTGAGACCAACGCCATTGGTCACGGCTCACCCCGTCTTCATTAGCCTGAGACAATCAGCCACACACACACACACACACACACACACACGCTCGCGCGCGCTGGGGAGAACAGAAAGCGCTGTTCACACTCTCCCCCACCAAAAGACCCCCAAACTCGCCTTTGAACAATGTTTCGGAGACTTCCCGCTCTTAAATCAGGGAGTGGGAAAGGTCCCCCATCATAGTAAAAAAAGGGGATGAATCTGGAAAATGCAATAAATCTGAGATCATAGGCGCGCTCTGGCCTGAGATAAATTCTTGCACCTCGGCCCGGCCGCCGCACATCTGCCTTACATTTAGACACTTTTACATGGAGCAACTCCACGGGAGCCACTAGTGCAACACACACACACACACACATTCACACATGCACACAAACACACGCACGTATGCACACACACACACACTCTCTCTCACACAGACTCTCTCACTCTCACACAGTCACTCACACACACATTCTCACATGCACACAAACACACACACGCGTATACACACACACACACTCTCTCACACAGACTCTCTCACTCTCACACACTCACTCACACACACATTCTCACATGCACACAAACACACACACGTATACACACACACACACTCTCTCACACAGACTCTCTCACACACACACACACACACACACACACACACACACACACACACACACACACACTCACTCTCACACAGACTCTCTTACTCTCACACACACTCTCTCACCCACCCACACATTTACACACACATTCACACACAAACACACACGCACACACACACACACACTCACTCTCACACAGACTCTCTCACTCTCACACACACTCTCTCACCCACACATTTACACACACATTCACGCACACACACAAACACACACGCACGTATGCACACACACACACACACATTCACACACGCACACAAACACACACACACTCACTCTCACTCACAAACACAGACTCACACACACACACACACACACACTCACACAGACACTCGCTCACTCACACACACACACACACACACACACACACATTTACACAGACACTCGCTCACTCACACACACACACACACACTCACACAGACACTCACTCGCTCACTCACACACACACAACTAGTGACTCAATGCTAACACTTTACAATAAGGTTAACATGAACTAACAATGAAAAGAATTAATAATTGAAAATAAATGTATTAAACTTCAAGTTAATCTCAACATTTACAAGATCAAAAGTTGTCTCTGTTAATATTAGTCAATACACTGTGAACTATCATCAATATGAGGATTTTTAGCAAGTAACAAAGATTAATAAATGCTGCAAAAATATTTTAGTTCATGTGAGTTGATGCATTAATTACTGTAAACAAATGAGAGCTAGTTGTAGAGTGTCATCATGTTAGTGGACCTCTGCTCGCATCACCGGACACTGAACCGTTGTGTTATCAACTAACGTGAACAAAGATTAATAAATGCTTTAACACACTTGTTAGTTAATGCTCTAATAGGGTCTGGTTGTAAAGTGTTACTGATTCAGTGTCCGTTTTTATTTCAGTTGATGCAGAACTTAAAGCCTCATGTGGTGTTCGGGTCAATTTGACCCGGAGAAGATTTTCTTTTTCCCGAAAATACTAGTTAATATTATCGCTTTGGACTGAAACTTAGTGACTTTGTTCCCAAACGGTAAAACTAAATCTCTTTTTTTGTGTGAAAATTTTCTTATTTTTTTTGTGGGAGTTTTGTTACCTTGTTACAATTGTGGTGTTCCCGGTCAAAAATGACCGGCCTATAAAAAATAGCTTATAAGTCAAAATCATTTTTGACCGGGACTTTTCGACTATGTGCCATATTTTTTACAAAACAAAAGTTTCAAAACAAAATTCCTGTGATCAACAATACCAATTTTCTTCAGATTTTATTTAATATTTCAAAAATTATTCAAAAATTCAAAAAAAAATTACTCAAAAAATGAAATGCCTACTCTCAAATAAATGAGGCCTATGATTATTCAGATGCAAATCAAAATATAAAACCAGTCCTAATTGAAAGAGAACATGTTGACAAAAAGATTGAATCCAAGATTGGGTGAAAATATGGTATAATGAGTGATTTATAAGGTTTTTTTTATGGGCCGGTCATTTTTGACCGGGAACACCACAGGTGTTATAGGGTTTTGAACACCACATGAGGGTTAAAGCCTTATGTGTTTGATTTCATATTGAGATGTTGGATTTGTAATCACAGACTTTTTGTATCTTGGCAAATCTAGTGTTGTTTTTTTCTCTGGAGAAAGTCTCCGTTTGATCTTATCCAGAATGAATAATAGAGAAATTAAACATCTCGTCTGTTTTCATTCCTGCAGGGTCATGCTGATATGATCATGGATGCTTGTTTCCGCCTCGGAATAAAAAAAAATAAAAAAATAATTCGTTACATTTATATAGCGCTTTTCTGGGTACTCAAATCGCCACCACAAAAGTCACAATTTTCTGAGGAAAAAGTCAAAATTGACTCCAAATTGAGATGAAAAGTCCCTGTTTCCATGTTTCATGTTGTTATCCGCTGGTGGACACGAGCTTCTGTGATGTTTCTTTTCTTTTCGTCCACAGCACAGTCCGAGCACGCGTGTGAAGACGATCGGCTGCGGGCGGCACAGGACAGGTATGAAACACCTTCAGGACACACACACTGCGTCTCAGTGTTCACTATCCGTCCGAAACAGTGTGTGAGACTAGAATAAGTGTGTCCCAAAGCACAGTGTGCTGAAGAGAGTGTGTCAGGAGTCCCGGATGATCCACTATTCCCAGTGGGTTTTCAAAGTGTGGATCCGTCTCACTATAACAGCTGATATTACCCACAATCCACTGCGCTTTGAAGGAACTACAAACATGAGTAAAAAGTGTTAAAAAACTACAAAACATGGCGGATATGTGGTTTAGATTAGACTAATCAAAGTTTAACCTGATTAAAAAATATTTATTTAATGTTATCCGTGTTAATTATAATATTTCATCTGCAATAACAATGTGGACTTTTATAAAGATATGTTTGGCCATTAACTTTTAAATGCATCATTATGCGTTAATATGAGGAGATTCTCCGCATGAAAGACTCGCGACTTCATATCAACATTTCTCTCCGATACGGTAGGAAATTAAATTATATTAAATGTGGAGAATTTGAACTGTGACAAGATGCTTGACAGGCCAGTTTAGTGTGACCAGTTCTAGTTTTGACCACTGCCGACCACCGTACATTTATTACTGTTGTGCTACACAACTAATTCATATGCATTTTAAAGATCTAGCCTACACTTGTATCACTGAAATGCTGGAAAGTATTTACAAGAACAATATTTCATCACAGCTCAAAAGAGAAAGAGAAGAAAAACACGTAAACATTTGAAACGGGCCGATATTATGACAGCAATTATATACATTAAAAAATAAACCGAGCAGCTTTGTGTTGCGTTTAGGCTATATTAACTTATTTCCGCTAATTTTTACATTTTTAAAATGACATCCGTCATTTTGAGATAAAATAAAATACAATTATTTTAACTAAAGTGCGTATATCTTTTTAATAAAAAAGTGTATATAGTTATAAATAATCAAATAAATAGGATATTTTCCTATTATTAAATCAAATATGAATTTATTCTTATTTTTCCAAGTATATGACATTTAATTTACAGCAGACAATAATGCTAATGAGCAGCTCGTTCGAGGATTGGTGGGATTACAAACTCGCTCCTCCACCGCCAGTAAATCTCCACCCGAACGCATGAGTTTATCACTCAGGGGACATGCTCATTTATTTTTACGGACGTCCACATGAGAAACAGTTACCGCCCGAATAGGGCTTAAGACGGCATCAGGACTAAGGTGATTTAGAGCGCTCTACATTTCCAGCGAAATAGCCCACAAGATAATCTCACACTATTGATTTTAATAGAGCCACGATTCCGTAAAATACCATTTTTAATTAGACTGTATTGTTTTATTGATATTTTTCAGTATTGCACACTACCATTCAGTATGATTTTTAAAAGAAGTCTCTTGTATATTTATTTGATGACAAATACAGTAAAAAATTATGACATTATTTTAATATAAATCAGCTGTTTTCTGTGTGAATATATAGTAAAGTGTAATTTATTCCTGTGATCAAATCAATCATTACTCCAGTCTTCAGTGTCACATGATCCTTCAGAAATCACTCTAATATGATGATCTGATGATCAAGACACATTTATGATCATTATCAGTGGTTGAAAATGGTTTAATATTTTCGTGAAAACTGATACATTTACTTTTCAGGATTCTTTGATGAATAGAAGGTTCTAGAAGAACAACATTTGTTTGAAATTGAATGACTTTTGATCGATTTAATGCGTCCTTGATGAACCCGAACTCTTGAATGACTCAGATTTTTTTCTAGTTGCTAATGCATTCTGGGATTGTTTGATGTGTGAGCAGCAGGTGTGTTTCTGAAGCGTGAGCGTCGTGACGGATGTTTCTGGAGGAGCGTCGTGTTATCGTGTGGTCTTATCATGTGTATTTGAGCGTGTCAGACTCCCGACAGGAACACTGTGAGCTGTGTGCGCTGATTTATGTGCAAGCGTTCGACTGCCAGATGCTGCACGACGGAAAATATCTGGAACTTTTCATAGAGGGGGGAAAAGGACAAACAAAGCATATTGATTATTTTTCCTTGTTTAGATTTGAGTTTTTTTTGTAACCCGAAACAAAACAAAGTGAAATGAAATAAATAAGACGCAGAACATGCACACACAGAATAAAGAAATGACTTCCAGCTAACAGGGAACGTTCTCAGAACAAGAAGTTATGAACAAACGTTCTTCCAGTAACGTTAATCGTTCAGAGTTATCTGGTCTTTAATAATGTTCTCAGAACATTAGCACAAAAACATTATTTATACATCGTTTTTTTTCTTTCTGAAAAGTTCAGTTGGATGTTCATTTAACGTGTTTTTAAATAGCAAATGTTTGTTAATATTCAGCGATCATTCAAAAGTAACAATTAGAGAACATTCTAAAGTAACAATCAGAGAACATTCTAAAGTAACAATCAGAGAACATTCTAAAGTAACAATCAGAGAACATTCTAAAGTAACAATCAGAGAACATTCAAAAGTAACAATTAGAGAACATTCTAAAGTAACATTCAGAGAACATTCTAAAGTAACAATCAGAGAACATTCAAAAGTAACAATTAGAGAACATTCTAAAGTAACAATCAGAGAACATTCTAAAGTAACAATCAGAGAACATTCTAAAGTAACAATCAGAGAACATTCTAAAGTAACATTCAGAGAACATTCTAAAGTAACAATTAGAGAACATTCTAAAGTAACAATCAGAGAACATTCTAAAGTAACAATCAGAGAACATTCTAAAGTAACAATCAGAGAACATTCTAAAGTAACAATTAGAGAACATTCTAAAGTAACATTCAGAGAACATTCTAAAGTAACAATTAGAGAACATTCAAAAGCAACATTCAGAGAACATTCTAAAGTAACAATTAGAGAACATTCTAAAGTAACAATTACAGAACATTCTAAAGTAACAATTAGAGAACATTCTAAAGTAACAATCAGAGAACATTCTAAAGTAATATTCAGAGAACATTCTAAAGTAACAATTAGAGAACATTCTAAAGTAACAATCAGAGAACATTCTAAAGTAATATTCAGAGAACATTCTAAAGTAACAATTAGAGAACATTCTAAAGTAACAATCAGAGAATATTCTAAAGTAACATTCAGAGAACATTCTAAAGTAACAATCAGAGAACATTCTAAAGTAACAATCAGAGAACATTCTAAAGTAACAATTAGAGAACATTCTAAAGTAACATTCAGAGAACATTCTAAAGTAACAATTAGAGAACATTCTAAAGTAACAATCAGAGAACATTCTAAAGTAACAATTAGAGAACATTCAAAAGTAACATTCAGAGAACATTCTAAAGTAACAATTAGAGAACATTCTAAAGTAACAATCAGAGAACATTCTAAAGTAACAATCAGAGAACATTCTAAAGTAACAATTAGAGAACATTCTAAAGTAACAATTAGAGAACATTCAAAAGTAACATTCAGAGAACGTTCTAAAGTAACAATTAGAGAACATTCTAAAGTAACAATCAGAGAACATTCTAAAGTAACAATTAGAGAACATTCTAAAGTAACAATTAGAGAACATTCTAAAGTAACAATTAGAGAACATTCTAAAGTAACAATTAGAGAACATTCTAAAGTAACAATCAGAGAACATTCAAAAGTAACAATTAGAGAACATTCTAAAGTAACATTCAGAGAACATTCTAAAGTAACAATTAGAGAACATTCTAAAGTAACAATCAGAGAACATTCTAAAGTAACATTCAGAGAACATTCTAAAGTAACAATTAGAGAACATTCAAAAGTAACATTCAGAGAACATTCTAAAGTAACAATTAGAGAACATTCTAAAGTAACAATCAGAGAACATTCTAAAGTAACAATTAGAGAACATTCAAAAGTAACAATTAGAGAACATTCTAAAGTAACAATTAGAGAACATTCTAAAGTAACATTCAGAGAACATTCTAAAGTAACAATTAGAGAACATTCAAAAGTAACATTCAGAGAACATTCTAAAGTAACAATTAGAGAACATTCTAAAGTAACAATCAGAGAACATTCAAAAGTAACAATTAGAGAACATTCAAAAGTAACATTCAGAGAACATTCTAAAGTAACAATCAGAGAACATTCTAAAGTAACAATCAGAGAACATTCTAAAGTAACAATCAGAGAACATTCTAAAGTAACATTCAGAGAACATTCTAAAGTAACAATCAGAGAACATTCTAAAGTAACATTCAGAGAACATTCTAAAGTAACAATTAGAGAACATTCAAAAGTAACATTCAGAGAACATTCTAAAGTAACAATCAGAGAACATTCAAAAGTAACATTCAAAAGTAACATTCAGAGAACATTCAAAAGTAACAATTAGAGAACATTCTAAAGTAACAATCAGAGAACATTCTAAAGTAACAATTAGAGAACATTCTAAAGTAACAATCAGAGAACATTCTAAAGTAACAATCAGAGAACATTCTAAAGTAACAATTAGAGAACATTGTAAAGTAACAATTAGAGAACATTGTAAAGTAACAATCAGAGAACATTGTAAAGTAACAATTAGAGAACATTCTAAAGTAACAATTAGAGAACATTCTAAAGTAACAATCAGAGAACATTGTAAAGTAACAATTAGAGAACATTCTAAAGTAACAATTAGAGAACATTCTAAAGTAACAATCAGAGAACATTCAAAAGTAACAATTAGAGAACATTCTAAAGTAACAATCAGAGAACATTCTAAAGTAACAATCAGAGAACATTCTAAAGTAACAATTAGAGAACATTCTAAAGTAACAATCAGAGAACATTCTAAAGTAACAATTAGAGAACATTCTAAAGTAACAATTAGAGAACATTCTAAAGTAACAATTAGAGAACATTCTAAAGTAACAATTAGAGATCATTCTAAAGTAACAATTAGAGAACATTCTAAAGTAACAATTAGAGAACATTCTAAAGTAACAATTAGAGAACATTCTAAAGTAACAATTAGAGAACATTCT